GACCAGACCCCATCCTCAGGAATTCACCCTATGGCAATTGCAATCTGGTAACTAGAAAGATCTATCTGCACCCTCCATGATGAATATTCAGATAAATTAAATAGTATGTATTAGAGCGGTTTGACAGGCAGAGTGGACAGTGCATCCATGCGGCGAGTTCAGGTCTTCCTTTGCCGTTGGTTCACCCTCCAATGGCCGCCGCTGCAGCCGGCGCACCGCGCTGATCCGATGGCAGGAGCCAGGATCCAGGTGCTTTTCCTGGTCTCCCATGGGGTGCAGGGCCCAAGCACCTGGGCCATCCTCCACTGCACTCCCTGGCCATAGCAGAGAGCTGGCCTGGAAGAGGGGCAACCGGGACAGAATCCGGCGCCCTGACCGGGACTAGAACCCGGTGTGCCGGCGCCGCAAGGTGGAGGATTAGCCTATTGAGCCACGGCGCCGGCTCTCTCACTGTCCATTCTGCCTGTCAAAAAAAAAAAAAAGAATCATGTATCTGAGGCTGGGGCTGTGGCACAGTGAGCAAAGCCGCCACCTGAAGCGCCGGCATCCCATATGGGCACCAGTTCAAGATCCGGCTGCTCCACTTCTGATCCAGCTCTCTGCTATGGCCTGGGATAGCAGCAGAAGATGGCCCAAGTCCTTGGGTCCCTGCACCCACGTGGGGGACCCAAAAGAAGCTCCTGACTTCTGGCTTCAGATCGGCGCAGCTCCAGCCATTGAGGCCAATTGGGGAGTGAACCACTGGATGGAAGACCTCTCTCTCTCTCTTTCCCTCTGTGCCTCTCCTTCTCTCTCTGTGTAACTCTTTCAAATAAATAAATAAATCTTAAAAAAAAAAGAATCATAAATCCGCAGACTGGAAAAAAAGAGTTGGAGAAAAAGGATTTTACTTTAAGAGAATAAAGGCTATACATTTAGATTTGCTGGCAATCAATGCGATACCATAATTACCTTTTAGAAACAGTTATTATAGGAGAAAAGCAAATGAGTCTACCATAGAGTAAGTTATAAAATGTGGATCCTACTACCCATTTATAGGGTGGTTGGTTTGAAAAATAAAGTAAAATAATATGAGAATATGCCTATGTATACAGTGCTCTGCACAATAAAGGCCAACTAAGAAATATTAAATAAATGGAAGCTAGTATTTGCCATTTTTAAATAGCAAATGGATTGAGGAGGACTCGGCTCTCCAAACTCATGCAGACATGAGAACCCTTCAAATTCTTATATGAACAGTTAAGGCTAATAATTGACACAGAGGCTAATCCAATTATGGCATCTGAAGGTGGAGCCTTGAGAAGAGACTGGATTGGATTAGGTTGCTATGGAAGAGTCCCATAATTGAATCATAACGACATTATAAGACCTCATAGAGCACAGGGGAAGAAAGTGCTCCCTGTGTCATTCTGCTTCCTGGCTCACCATGTGATCATTCCTCCGCATACACTCTGCCACTGCCAGCCTCCAGCACAAGCCAGACTAATGAGGCTGTCCAGTTTTACACTGTGAACTTCCAAACTAAACTGATCAACTCTTGTCCCTCCGAAGTTGTTCCTTTTAGGTATTTAGTTGCAGTATTGAAAAGCTGGCTAATACAGTTAGCTAACCTTTCTAGCTTTTGCTCTCTAACTTTTAATAATAGGTATAGAGTCTTCAAAGAGTTAATACAGGGATGATCTGAAATGTTGTATATGAAGTTCCTAGTAAAATACCTACAATAAGCACTCACTAAAATGACAGTAAGGGGGCCGGCGCTGTGGTGCAGCGGGTGAACGCCCTGGCCTGAAGTGCCAGTATCCTATATGGGCACTGGTTCAAGACCCGGCTGCTCCACTTCTGATCCAGCTCTCTGCTATGGCTTGGGAAAGCAATAAAAGAAGGCCCAAGTCCTTCAGTCCCTGCACCCACGTGGGAGACCCAGAAGAAGCTCCTGGCTCCTGGTTCCTGGCTTTGGATCGGCACAGCTCCAGCCATTGAAGCCAATTGGGGAGTGAAGCATCAGATGGAAGACCTACCTCTCTCTCGCTCTCTCTCTCTCTCTCTCTGCCTCTCCTCTCTCTGTGTAACTCTGACTTTCAAATAAATAAATCTTTTTTTAAAAAATGACAGTATGGGATACAGGGAAATTTATGCAGAACAGAAGATTTCCCCAAAATCTATCTATAGTCAATGTTAATATTCCATACTATCCACCAATTTCTTTGGAAGAATTTATAAGAAACTGAATTTCTACAATGGATAACTCTTTAAAGTAAGTATGGGATGGGCATTTAGCCTCACTGTGAAGACATTGACACTGACAATTAAGATGTCATGTCCTACACTGGAGTGCTTAGGTTCGATTCCAGATTCTGGCTCCTGACTCAAGCTTCCTGGTATTACAGACCCTAGGAAGAGGTGGTGAAGGGTCAAGTAACTGGGTTCCTACCACCATGTGGGAGATCTGAATTATGTTTTCAGTTCCTGGCTTTGCCCACAGCCATTGCAAGCACTTCGGGAAACAAGTCAAAAGATTGGAGCTCTCCCTTCCTTTTTTTTTGCTTCTCAAATATTTAAAAAAAAAAATCTCGATTTTTTATGACCTCCTAGCTACCTCATGAACACTAACTTCTAGAATTTGACAAAGGTGGCAAACTTTTCTTTCCAATAAGCTCATAAAAAAGATAACATATCTTGCTTTGTTCCTATTTTTTAAAATCCTTAATGTACCCTATTAGTGACTGTTTAATTAGTCTGATTCCAGCTTCCTGCTGATATGCATCCTGGGATGTAGCAAGTAATGGGCCAAGTACTTCAGTTCCTGCCAGTGACATGGGAGACCTGGATTGAGTTCCACGTTCCTGTCTTTAGCCTGGCCCAGCTCTAGCTGTTGTAATCATTTGGGGAATAACTAGGGGATAGAAGATTTCTCTCTGTTTATGTCTTCTTGCCTTTCAAATAAAATAAGTAAAATTCTAAAGATTGTATAAAATTATCATCAGGCTATGTGTATAAGTTGTATATGAAACATAAATAAATTCTGTGTTTAAACTTGGGTCCTATAGCAAGATATCTTATTATGTGTGTGCAAATGCACCAAAATATTTAAAAAAATAACAATTGAAACACTTCTAGTCGCAGGCATTTTGGATAAGGAATACTCAACCTATACACAGATGCATACTTACAGAATTAAGGGGGAGATGTCAATTTTTTTTTTTTTTTTGACAGGCAGAGTTAGACAGTGAGAGAGACAGACAGAGAGAAAGGTCTTCCTTCCATTGGTTCATCCCCCAAATGTCCCCTCAGCCAGCGTGCTGCGCTGATCAGAAGCCAGGAGTCAGGTGCTTCCTCCTGGTCTCCCATGCGGGTGCTGGGCCCAAGCACTTGGGCCATCCTCCACTGTACTCCTGGGCCACAGTAGAGAGCTGGACTGGAAGAGGAGCAACCGGGTCAGAATCCGGCACCCCAACTGGGACTAGAACCTGGGGTACCAGTGCCACAGGCGGAAGATTAGCCTAGTGAGCCGCAGTGCTGGCCCGGGAGATGTTGTCTGTAAAGCAGTAGATATCATGGCTGAAAAAAGTTCCATAAACTATTGGAATTACCATTTTAAAGGTAATTTTTAAAGGAGACACATACTGCATGAATCAATTGCAAAAGATGAATGCAGAAGTGTAATCAATTCTGCTGTGGGCTTAGGGTCAGTAAAACCTCACTTGGTTGAGTTGCATTTTTTAAAATGCGGATTAAGAAACAGATCATATCACTGACTTAGGCCTAATATGCATTTAAGGGACCCTTTATTCCATTTTTGCCCACATGCTGCCTCAATTTCACCCTTTATTAGTGCATTTCCAAACCAAGTTCTCTAGGTTATGCCAATTAATCACAAAGCAGAGAGGCTGGCATAAGTCTGGTATTTCTAGAAGTGTAGGATAAAAGACTTCACAGCTTTCAATGGTCTATTTTAAAGAAAATGAAAGCTGTTTTGTTCACTTGCTCAGCAGCTTTAAAAACAAGTACAAAGGTTTCATGCTGCCATAATTTTATTTTAAAGAACAATACTTGTGAAAGGCAGGTAAGTAACTGGGTAATAAAAGCAGAGTAAGAAAATTAAAAAAAAAAAAAAAACAATTTCGCAGAACTATATTAAGCAACTAAGAAAAACCATCTTATTTTCCACATAAATTAGTCCTAGAGCTAACCTCAGAAGTTTTTCTTTTGTCCTGATTTTATTTTTCTTTCAATCCCTTCCAGGAACATAGAGTACTCACCTCCTTCTGCAAGGCTAATAAATGATTTCAAAGGACTTTTGAAAGTGGCATTCCTTATCCACCTACTCCTTTCAGGTGCATGCACCCCATCATTCAAATATTCCAAAGAATTTCCTATGTAGCTAACTGTGCATATAATGTGTTTCTGCATTTGTTCTAGATAATGGCAGACACAGCAACAAAACCATTAGTTCACGGGTTACTATATATCTCCACAGGATTAGCTCTAAGAAACAGGTAAGTATTCATTATAATTAATCCAACATTCAGGATTATTAACTTTTTTCTATACTGACCTTTGGTTTTGGTCCCAATGAAAGACTAGTCTTATTGTAGCAGCATGTCCCCAACTTTCTCCTGCAAGAAAAGAGTATAACAGTATATTGCCTTACTGACTAGGATAAAGTTCCTCAGAATGCCTCTGACCAAATTTAGTTCTTACTTTTCTTAATTTACCACAAGAGTACACTTGGTTGGAAAAAGATGAGAAATGAGTAATATCCTAAAATTAATAAATTTTTACCTATTTAGCAAAATAATGGAAATCATTATCCTTTATTTGCTTTTAGAAATTTATAGTCTGGAAGCCGGCGCCGCGGCTCACTAGGCTAATCCTCCGCCTTGCGGCGCCGGCACACCGGGTTCTAGTCCCGGTCAGGGTGCCGGATTCTGTCCCAGTTGCCCCTCTTCCAGGCCAGCTCTCTGCTGTGGCCCGGGAGTACAGTGGAGGATGGCCCAAGTGCTTGGGCCCTGCACCCCATGGGAGACCAGGAGAAGCACCTGGCTCCTGGCTTTGGATCAGCGCAGTGCGCCAGCCACAGCAGCCATTGGGGGGTGAACCAATGGCAAAGGAAGACCTTTCTCTCTGTCTCTCTCTCTCACTATCCACTCTGTCAAAAAAAAAAAAAAAAATTATAGTCTGGGAGCCAGCGCTGTGGCGTAATGGGTGAAGCTGCTGCCTGCAGTGCCAGCATCCCATATGGGCACTGGTTCGAGTCTTGGCTCGAACTTCCAATTCAGCTCTCTGCTATAGCCTGGGAAAGCAGAAGAAGATGGCCCAAGTCCTTAGGCTTCTGCACCTGCTTAGGAGACCTGGAAGAGGTTCCTGGCTCCTGGCTTCGGATTGGCACAGCTCCGGCCATTGCGGCCATCTGGGGAGTGAACCAGCGGGTGGAAGACCTCTCTCTCTCTGCCTCTCCTTCTCTCTCTGCGTAACTCTTTCAGATAAACAAATAAATCTTTAAAAAAATAAATTTGTAGTTTGAGTCACTATATTTATCAATCATCCATTTAATCAGACCTACTAACATATTTCTGACTCTCAGAAGCAAAGTAAAAATTCTAAGAAAACACTCTTAAAGATTTTAATGTAAATCAATCTTGTAGTATTGTGTTCTAATGAAATAAAAACTGAGTTCTGAGACACAGTCACGTGTCTATTTACTGCAGTTTGATTTTTATTTAAATGGATTCATCCTTCTTTCTAAGATGGTGAGCTTGCTGAGGGCAAGAGTCATCATACAAATATCTCTGGTATCTGACACTATAGCTGCCAAATGATAGATACCTGATGATAAATGACTGTTAAATAACTAAAAGGGGAGCTAGCATTGTGGTGCAAACGGTAAAGTCACCATTTGCAATGCTAGCATCCAATAAAGAAGTGCAGGTTTGGCTACTCAGCTTTCTATCCAGCTTCCTGCTAATGGGTCTGGGAAAGCAAGAGAAGATGACACAATCCTGCAATCCATGTAGGAGACTAGGATGAGGTTTCTGGCTCCTGGTCTCAGACTGACCTAAACCCTGGCTATTGCAACATTTGGGGAGAGATTTAGTGGATGGAAGATCTCTCTTTCTTTCTCTGTCCCTCCCTCTCTCCATTTTTCTGCCTTTCAAATGAATAAATATTTGTAAAAAATAATTAAAAGAATCACTAAATATTTGAAGGCACTGTGCTTGGTGATAAGAGTTATCAGTGAATAAGATAAATACAGTCTCTGCTCATGCGGCCTATAGTATTTCAACAAATATCAAATAAAACAGGTAAGAAAAATATTTTAAACCATAACTGTTTATCTTATTAATTTACCTACCTAATGCAGGAACTAGCAAGGCCTGGTCTTTTTCTATTTTTGTTGTCATCTGATTGGTTAAAATTACCTACAAAAACAAAATGTGAGAAAGTGAGGTGAGTCTCTACCAAAAAATATCAAGTATGAAAGCAGCTAGGTCTCAAACCGGTGCCCAAATGGGATGTTGGAGTCACAAACAGAGGCTTAACCTTCTACGCCACAACGTCAGCCCCAAAAGATAATAATTTTAAATTAGGAAAAGCAAAAGTGTTAATGATACAGTACAAGTCAGATTATCTGGCATCTTTTAATCCAAAATTCTCCAGAAACAGTTATTTTAAATATTCTTCTTTGCATAAAGAACATGGTAACTACTGTAAGCTCCAAGTGATCAAGAATTTCTGTGAAAAGCAGTAAGGTGCCTATTCTGGAAAAAGAAAATCAGTTCTATAAGAAAACTAAGACAGAAATGGCTGGGAGACCAGCTCTGTGGCATAGTGAGTAAAGCTACTACCTGCAGTACCAGCATCCCATATGGACACCAGTTTGAGATTCGGCTGCTCCATTTCTGATCCAGCTCCCTGCTATGGCCTGAGAAAGCAGTGGAAGATGGCCCAAGTACTTGGGCCCCTGAACCGGCTTGGGAGACCTGGAAGAAGCTCCTGACTCCTGTCTTCAGATTGGCCCAGCTCTGGCTGTTATGGCCATTTGAGGAGTAAACCAGCAGATGGAAGATTCTCTCTCTCTGCCTCTCTATAACTCTGCCTTTCAAATCAATAAATAAATCTTAAAAAAAAAAAAAAAAAAAAACCATTCAATGGTAACATCCTAAACAAATTTTTAAGACATAAAGGAGTCTCTGTGACACATATATATCTCAATTAGATACCAAAAGGCTAACATGCCTTTCTTCTAGTTTCTCTCCCCTGTGTACCATAGTGCCTTCTCTATTTGTTATGTTACACCAGGCATCTTAGAACAAGCTAAGCAGGAATTTAAATTGGTAATTAACTAAAATGTATGACTAACTGGTATTTCTAACATGCTGAGTAATCACCTTCACTGTACATGCTACCAAGCATATAAGCTCTTGAACAGTGTAATATTCACTTATGCCCACACTTTTTGCTTAGTGGTGGTGCACTATTCAACTCCATAGCCATTAGTCACTTTAACTTTTAAAGTTTAATTAAAGCTAGAAATTCATTCCCTTAGTATTAGCCTCATTTCGCAGTCTTAAAAGTTGGGGCCGGCGCTGTAGCATAGCAGGTAAGGCCGCCGCCTGCAGTGCCAGCATCCCATATGGGTGCTGGTTCAAAACCCAGCTGCTCCACTTCTGATTTGGCTCTCTGCTACGGCCTGGGAAAGCAGTAGAAGATGGCCCAAGTCCTTGCACCCGCGTGGGAGACCCAGAAGAGCCTCCTGGCTCCTGGCTTCGGATTGGCGCAGCTCCGGCTATTATGGCCAATTGGGGAGTGAAGAGCAGATAGAAGTCTCTCTCTCTCTCTCTCTCTCTCTCTCTCTGTGTGCCTCTCCTTCTCAATGTGTCACTTTGACCCTCAAATAAATACATGTATCTTTAAAAAAAAAAAAGTCATTCAGCTACTGGCCTAAATGGTATATTTCCATCTTTATAGAAGTTCTACCATATAGTTCTGGTTTACAGAGCATTTCATTTATCTATTACATATCTTCATGAAAATGTAAATAGAAGCTGTGACCTAGTAGGTTAAGCCTCTGCCTGTGGCACCGGCACCCTATATGGGTACTGATTTGAGTCCCAGCTACTCTACTTCTGATCCAGCTCCCTGTTAATGGCCTAGGAAAGCAGTGGAAGACGGCCCAAGACATTGGGCCCCTGCACCCACGTGGGAGATCCAGAAGAAGCTCCAGGCTCCTGATAGGCCCAGCTCCAGCCTTTACACCCGTTTGGGATGTGAACCAGTGGATGGAAGACCTCTCTCTCTGTCTTTCCTTCTCTCTGTCTGTAACTCTGCCTCTTAAATAAATAAATCTTCTAAAAAATAAGTAAATATAACTATTAGCTAATCAGCTATTCAATAACTCAAAATTAGATTCTGCATTATTTGCCAATATTTGTAAGATAATTTATATTGGGACCGGCGTTGTGGTGTATCAAGTTAAGCCTTCACCTGTAGCACTGGCATCCCATATGAGTGCCGGTTCAAGTTCTGTCTGCTCCACTTCCGATCCAGCTCTCTGCTTCTGTAGAGAAGGAGGGAGGGAGAGAGATCATCCATCCTCTCCCCCAAATGGCTGCAATGGTCCATACTGGGCCGGTCTAAAGGCAGGAGCCAGGAGCCAGGAGCTTCTTAGGATCTCACACAGGGTACAGGAGTCCAAGAACTTGGGCTATCTTCCACTGCTTTCCCAGGCACATTCACAGGGAGCTGGATCAGAAGTGGAGCAGCTGGGACTTGAACTAGTGCCCATATGAGATGCTGGCACTGCAGGCAGAGACAACCTTCTACACTACTGTGCCAGCCCCAAATAAATCTAAAAAAATTTTTTAAAAGAAGAAAGAAAATTTATGCTAAGTGAAAGAAGTCAGACACAAAAGGTCTGTACGTATTGTATGATTCTATTTATACGACATGTCCAGAGAAGAAAAATTAACAGAGACAAAAAGCAGATTAGTGGTTGCTAGGGACTAGGGGGAGGGCAGAATAAGAAGCAATGGCTAACAGAATTTGTGTGTGTGTGTGTGCTTTTAAATCTGGAACTATGTTTCTCAGAATTATTTTCCTTGTATGGTACCAAGTTAGAGTTGAACATAAAAGGAATTTGCATGAGATTTAAAAGGTGAAAGTGAAGGAGCAAGATATTTTTAATATTCTGAAGGTCATTGCACATAGAGGTTTCATTTTTGGATCAAGATATTCTAAAATTAGATACTGGTCAAGATTGTACAAATCTAACAATATACATTTATTTATTCACTTCATTTTATTTGAAAGGCAGGGGCATAGAGAGGGATCTTCCATTTGTTGGCTTACTCCCCAAATAACAGCAACAGCCAGGGCTGGGCAAGACCAAAGCCAAGAGCCCAGAACTCCATCCAGGTCTTCCACATGGGTGGCAGGAACCCAAGTATCTGGGCCATTATCTGTTGCCTCACAGTGTATGCATTAGCAGAGCAGCTGGGAGTTTAATCCAGGGACTCTGATATGGGATGTGGTCTTCCCAAGCAGCATCTAAACCATTGTGGTAAATGCTGGCACCCAGGTATGTGACTTTTATCTCGTTACACTTGGTTAAAAAAAAAAAAAACAGAAACCTATCTACCAATATTCAAAGAAATTCATCCCTTTTTAAAGATTTTATTTATTTATTTGAAAGGCAAAGTTAGACAGAGTGCTTCCATCCACTGGTTCACTCCCCAGATGGCGCCAACAGTCCAGGACTGTGCTTCATCTGCATCTCCCATGTGGATGGCAGGAGCCCAAGTACCTGGGCCGTCCTCCACTGCTTTTCCAAGCATATTAGCAGGGAGAAGGATCGAAGTACAGCAGCCAGGACTCTTTTGGGATGCCATCATTGCAAACAACAGCTTAACCCGCTGTGCCACAACACCAGAGAAATTCATCTTTTAAAGGAATTTCCCCCATTGGTTTGACAAAGATTTTACAACTGGTAACATCCAAAGTTGATAAACATGTGGGAAAAGAAGAATTCTCATTAACTGGTGTACAGAATTTACTGTGGAACATGTTTTCTGAGGGTAATTTAACAATATAAAAACAAAATGTTTAAAAATAAGATTCCTGGGGCTGGTGTTGCAGTGCAGCAGCTTAAGCTGCTGTTTGCGATGTAGCATCCTTTGTTGGAATGCCAGTTTGAGTCCTGGCAGCTCAGCTTCTGATCCAGCTTTATGCTAATAAGTCTGGGAAGGCGGTAAAGACCGCCTAATTACTTGGGCACCTGCCACCCAAATGGGAGACCCAGAAGTTCTTAGCTTTTGCCTTCAGCATGACAGTCCTGCCTAGCAGGTATTTGGGGAGTGAACCAGTGTTTGTAAGAGATTTCTGTCTGTCTTTCCTTCTCTCTGTCATTCTGCCATTCAAATAAAAGAAAAAAAAAAACTAAAAAAAAAAATATTCGTTTGGCTTAACATCTTCCTTTTTAAGAAGTTGATTACAGGAGTGGGCGTTTGATGCAGCAGTTAAGTGACTACTTGGGATGCCTGAAACCCACACTGTGGTGCCTAGCCTGAGTTAAGGCTCCTCTGACCCAGCTTTCTGCAAATGTGCACCCAAGGAGATAGCAGATGATGACTCAAGTACTGGGTCTCTGCTGCCGAAATGGGATACCTGTACAGAGTTCTGGGCTCATGGCTTTGGCCTGGCTCAGCACTGTGGGAACAAACCAATGGGTGGAAGATCCCTGTCCCTCTGCCTTTCAAATAATATGAAAATAAATTCAAAAAAATATTTTGGGGGAATGGCACTGTGTTATAAAGCTGCCACCTGCAATGCTGGCATCCTATATGGGCAAAAATTCAAGTCCCAGCTGCTCCACTTCTGATCCAGCTCTTTGCTATGGCCTGGGAAAACAGCGGAAGATGGCCCAAGTCCTTGGGCCTCTGCACCCACATGGGAGACCCAGAAGATGCTGGCTCCTGGCTTCAGATCAGCCTAGCTCTGACTGTTGTGGCCAATTGAGGAGTGAACCAGCAGATGGAAGACCTCTCTCTCTCTCTCTCTCTCTCTCTCTCTGCCTCTGTAACTCCTCTTTTCAAATAAATAAATATTTTTTAAAATTTGAGAAACTTACTCTAAAGGGCTGGGCATTTGACCTAGCAGTTAAGACTCTAGTTGGGAGGCTGGGATTCTTCCAATTAGCACACTGTTGCCTGGGATGCCCACTTCTCATACTAGAGTACCTGGGTTAGAAGCAGCTTTGTGTCCAGTTCTAGCTTCCTGTTCCTGTATACCCTGGGAGAGTGCTGGTGATGGCTCAAGCACTTGTGTCCCTGTCATATACAAGGGTGACAGATTAGGTTCTGGACTCGTGGATTTGGCCTGGCCCAGCCCCAGCTGTTGCACATTTGGGAAGTGAACTAACTGACTGAAGATCTCTGTCTCTCTGCCTTTCAAATATTAAAAAAAAAGCGGGGGAGGTTAGGGGACATTTGGTACAGAGGGTAAGATACTACTTGGGATACTGGTATTCCCTATCAGTGGGTTAAGTTGAGAATACTGGCTCTGCTTTGATACAGTTTCCTGTTACTGTGCATCCTGGGAGGCAGCAGATGAAGGCCCAGTATCTGCATCTCTGCCACCCATGCTAGAGACCTGGTCTGAGTTCTAGGCTCTGGACTTCAGCCTGGCCCAACACTGACTATTGCAGGCATTTGAGGAGTGAACCAGGAAACAGAAGATCTCTTTCTGTTTCTCTTTCCAACAAAATGAAATAAATTTTTTTAAATAATAAAAATAAATAGATAAAAATTTAAACAACTCCAATAAGAATGTCTGCATCTCATGTTCAAAGTACCTGGGTTAAAGTCAGAAGCCAGGGGAAGGTACTGAACCCAGACAATCTCATATGGGAGGTGGGGTGTTTTAATCACTAGGCCAAATGCCTACCCCAGATGTTCACAACATTTTAAGTTAAAAACAAAAACTGCTTTGCATAACAGCATGTATAATATGATCTCATTTTCCAAAAAGTATGTTAGCATATATATAGAATAAAGTAAGTGGGGGGAAATACATATACCAAACTCAACAATATTCATCTCTGGGTAATGGATAATTATAGTTTTTGATCACTGAAAACAATTTTTACAACCTACATGCATAACTTAAAATTGTAAAATGTATTATCAAATTCATACATGCTTCTACACATGCCAACTGGGAAAAAACAAAACAAGCAAAGAGGCTGGTGTTATGGCACAGCAGGATAAGATGCCACTTGTGTTGCCAGTATCCCATGTTGGAGTGCTGGTTCAAATTCTGGCATGAGCCTGGGAAATATCAAATAATGGTTCAAATACATAGGCCCTTGCCACAACACATGGGAGATCCAGATGGAGTTCCTGGCTTCTGGCTTCAGCCTGGCCCAGACATGTCTACTGTGGGCACTAGGGGAATAAGTCAGCAGAGGGAAGATCTCTTTCCCTCTCTCTGTTGTTCTTGCCTTTCAAATAATTAAAAGTAAAAAAAAAAAAAAAAAAAAATCAAAGAACCCCACAAAATCCTGTCTTTGAAAGCAGTCACTGGTAATGTTTTGGTCCTTTCAAATCTTTTTCCCTCATTGTTTCCAAAGTGCAATTATACATGATATACTGTTATATAACTTCAATGCTTTTATTTAATCATGTATCTGGATATATCTTGTTCCATGTTAATACCTTTATTTACATTGATTACTTTAGATTTTTATTTTTTTTTAAAGATTTATTTACTTATTTGAAAGTCAGAGTTACAGAGAAAGAAGAAAGGCAGAGAGACAAAGAGAGGTCTTCCATCCGCTTGTTCACTCCACAACTGGCTGCAATGGCTGGAGCTGTGCTGATCCGAAGCCAGGAGCCTGGAGCTTCTTCTGGGTCTCCCACATGGGTGCAGGGGCCCAAGCACTTGGGCCATCTTCTACTGCCTTCCCAGGCCATATGAGAGAGCTGGATTGGAAGTGGAGCAGCGGGTCTCGAACCGGCACCCATATGGATGCCAGCGCTTCAGGCCAGGGCGTTAACCTGCTGTGCCACAGTGCCAGCCCCATTATTTATTTATTTTTAATTTGATTTATTTTTAAATTTATTTGAAAGGCTAGTTTATTTCCCAAGTCTGCTGGTTTACTTCCCAAATCCCTGCAACATCCAGAGCTATGCCAGGCTGAAAACAGGAGCACAGAACTCAACCTTGGTCTTCCACATGGGTAGCAGAGACCCAATTACTTGAGCTATCACCTGCTGTCTCCTGAGCTGCACATTTGCAGTAATGCTGAATCTGAGTTGAGACTTGCATCTAGGGATGCTTATTTGGGTTGTGCGTGTCCCGAGTGTAGTTTCTTAATAATCAAGCAAAAAGACTGTCGTAACAAAAAACAAATCCTAAGAAACTAGGCAACCCATTAGTCTTGAGTGCCCCCTACTGGAGGCTCTTCAATGGTACAACTATGAACAGAATGCTAAATGGCAATTAATTCAAACAAGAAGCTTTTTTAGCATGTGGCAAAAAAATCTAAAAATTAAAAAAAAAAGGAGGGGGATGTATTTGCTCATTTATTTGAAAGGCAGAGTGACAAAGAGAGAGATAAAGGAGAAGAGAAATTTTCCATTTACTGGTTCACCCCCTAAACACCTGAAATAGCTGGGGCTTGACCAGATGGAAGCCAAGAGCCTGGAACTCAATCCAGATCTCCCTCATGAGCAGCAGAGACTCAAGTACTTGAGCCATTGACTGCTATCTTCCAGGTTGCCCATTAGCAGAAAGACGCGTCAGAAGTGAAACAGGCCGGCGCCGCGGCTCAATAGGCTAATCCTCCACCTAGCAGCGCCGGCACACCGGGTTCTAGTCCCGGTCAGGGCGCCAAATTCTGTCCCGGTTGCCCCTCTTCCAGGCCAGCTCTCTGCTGTGGCCCGGGAAGGCAGTGGAGGATGGCCCAAGTGCTTGGGCCCTGCACCCCCTGGGAGACCAGGAGAAGCACCTGGCTCCTGGCTTCGGATCAGCACGGTGCGCTGGCCGCAGCGCGCCAGCCGCGGTGGCCATTGGAGGGTGAACCAACAGCAAAAAGGAAGACCTTTCTCTCTGTCTCTCTCTCTCACTGTCCACTCTGCCTGTCAAAAAAAAAAAAAAAGTGAAATAGGGCCGGCACCGCAGCTCACTAGCCTAATCCTCCGCCTTGCAGCGCCGGCACACCGGGTTCTAGCCCCAGTCAGGGCGGTGGATTCTGTCCCGGTTGCCCCTCTTCCAGGCCAGCTCTCTGCTGCGGCCAGGGAGTGCAGTGGAGGATGGCCCAAGTGCTTGGGCCCTGCACCCACATGGGAGACCAGGAGAAGCACCTGGCTCCCGGCTTCGGATCAGTGCGGTGCGCCAGCCGCAGCGGCCATTGTGGGGGTGAACCAATGGCAAAGGAAGACCTTTCTCTCTGTCTCTCTCTCTCTCCGTGTCCACTCTGTCAAAAAAAAAAAAAAAAAAAAAAGTTGTGGCACAGCAGGTTAAGCTGATGTCTGCAATGTCAGCATCCCTTATGGGCATCACTTCCAGTCCTGACTACTACACTTCTGAACCAGCTCCCTGCTAATGCAGCGGAGAAAATGGTCCAAGTACTTGGATTCCTGCCACCCATGTGGAGGATGGTGTTTCAGGCTCCTGGCCTTAGCCTGATCCAGCCCAGACCACTGCAACCATTTAGAGAGTGAACTAGTGAATGTGTGTTAGCATGCTCTCTTGCGATCTCTCTCCCTGCATCTCTCCTTCCTTCCCTCTCTCTCTGCCTTGCAAATAAATAATAAATCTTGGGGCTGGCATTCTATATGGGTGCCATGCAAGTCCTGGCTGCTCCAATTCCAATCCAGCTCCCTGCTGGTTCACCTGGGAAAGCAGTAGAAGATGGACCAAGTCCTGCACCCATGTGGGAGACTAGGATGGAGGTCCTGGCTCTAGCCTAGCCCAACCCTTGCCAATCAGGCAGTAAATCAGTGGACAGAAGATCTCTGTCTCACTCTCTAACTCTGTATTTCAAATAGATTAAAAAAAAAAAAAACTTAAAAATAATAATAAATAGGTCCTGTGGCGTAGCAGTGCTGGCATCCTATATGGGCACCAGTTTAAGTCCCGGTTGCTCCACTTGCAATCCAGCTATCTGCTATGGCCTGGGAAAGCAGTGGAAGATGGCCCAAGTCCTGGGGCCCCTGCATCAGCATGGGAGACCCAAAAGAAGCTCCAGGTTCCTGGCTTTGAATCAGCGCAGCTCTGGCCGTTGCAACCATTTGGGGAGTGAACCAGAGGATGGAAGACCTCTCTGCCTCTCTGTAACTCTGCCTTTCAAATAAATAAATTTTAATAATAAAAATAAATATTAAAAAAAAAGCCAGCTAAAAATGCTCTAATCAATTACAGCAAAGACAAATCAAGTTAAACAGTTCAACCTTCTTCTGTCTCCCAGACAAGGGTACGTATTTGTCAGTGGTAGGACAGTGTTACAGAGAGGGAAATGATGGCAAACAAGCAGTTAAGAGTCTTGGATGGGTATCTGGCCTACCAGTTAACACAGTAGCATCCCATATCGGAGTGCCTAGGTTGCATACTTGACTCTGCTCAACTCAAGCTTCCTACTAGTGCAGATGCTAAGAGGTAGGAGTGATAGCTCAAATAACTGAATTCCTGCCACCCAAATGCTACATTTGGAATAAGCTCCTGGCTTACAGCCTCAGAGGGCATTTGGGAAGAAAACCAGTGGAGAGAGGGAGCTCTCTTCTTGTGAGTGCACACTCCATCTCTCTGCTTCTGAAATAAAAAAAAAATTTTTTTTCTGGGGCCAGCACTGAGGTATAGTGGGCTAAGCCTCCACTTGAGGCACCGGAATCCCATACAGGCTGCAGTACAGTAGGTTAAGCTGCATTAATTCCAATCCTGGCTGCTCCTCTTCTGGATCCAGCTCTCTGCTGTGGCCTGGGAGAGCAGAAGATGGCCCAAGTGCTGGGGCCCCTGCAACCTTGTGGGAAACCCGGAAGAAGCTCCTGGCTTCAGATCATCTCAGCTCCAGCCATTGTGGCCATCTGGGGAATGAACCAGTGGTTGGAAGACCTTTCTCTCTGTCTCTCCTTCTCTCTATCTATAACTCCATCTCGCAAATAAATAAAATTTTTAAAAAATTTTTTTTCTAAGTCTCACTTCATGCCTTTTTATCACTTCACTTCTGGGCTTTTATTTACCTCTCTCCTCATATTATATTCCAAATCTAGAACAGTTATCTTAAAATATCTAGTTTGTTCACACTATGCATTTTTTAAAAATTTATTTATTTGATAGGCAGAGTTACAGAGAGGCAGAGAGAGCAAGAGGTCTTCCATCCACTGATTCACTCCCCAAATGACTGCAATGTCCAGAGCCAAGCCAATCCGAAGCCAGGAGCCAGGAGTTTCTTCCGGGTCTCCCACACAGGTGCAGGTGCCCAAGCACTTGGGCCATCTTCTACTGTTTTCCCAGGCCATATGAGAGAGCTGGATCGGAAGTGGAGCATATGGGACACTGTGTGGCAGGTGATGGCTTTACCCGCTATGCCACAGCGCCAACCCCTGCTTATATTATGTAATTTTTCCATCTGAGTCTGTGATTATACACTATGTAATAATGAAAGACTCAGAGCAAAAGGAAGAGGGATGTTGGAAGAGTTTACCTGAAAAATATCAAGCACATTTAGATAAAACTGCAATTACTAAAGATGGCATTTCTTTATAAAAAAAAAAATCCATTTTCAAGAAATGACATATTGATTATGCTGATTGATGTGCAACACTTATGGCTAGAATTAATCTTTTATGGAAACCAAAACAAAACCAAGCTCAAAAAACTGTATGTCAGGCAAATTATATTTCGCTATTCCTAGACTTCAATATTTTATAAAATCGTGACTTTATTATAAAACTTTCTTGACTAGTAATACTTACAGCTAATCTGTGGTTATTTGCAAGGCTTATCATTTGCTGGGCTAGGCCATTTAGTAACCGAGTACGAAGGGATAGGTCATCAAGATCATGACGAAAAGGAAAAGCAATACCATCTACAATCACTAATCGAACCTAAAACAGAAGAGAGAATGATTTTAGGTTTGGTATTAAAAATAAAATAATAAAAATGTCATCCAAAAAGTACAGTTATCAATCTATTCATCCAATGCTGTTTGTAGTAATCATCAAAAGTTAAAATGTATTCTGGTTTCATAATTTTTGTTAAAAAGTAACAAAAAATGGGGCGGCTGCTGTGGATAGCAGATAGAGCCTCAACCTGCAGTGCCAGCATCCAATATGGATGCTGGTTCAAGCCCCAGTTGCTCCACTTTTGATCCAGCTCTCTGCTGTGGCATGGGAAAGCAGAAGATGGCCCAAGTTGTTGGGCCCCTGCACCCATGTGGGAGACCCAGAAAATGCTACTGGCTCCTGGCTTCGGATGAGCTCAGCTCTAGCCGTTGTGGCCATCTGGGGAGTGAACCAGTGGATGGAAGATCTCTCTCTCTCTGTCTCTGCCTCTCTGTAGCTCTGCCTTTCAAATAAATAAATATTTCTTAAAAAGTAACAAAAAAAAAGGAATAATAATAACTGTCTTACAATGTGCCTCTATACATCTCTACATAGGCTTTACGGAAGTATTTCACACTATAAAAAAGTTAGCTGAAGTCTTAGTAAAACAAATTTCTCAATTACAAATACCAATTTTATCTTTAGGGTTCAAATATTACAATATTTTCTGTAAAAAATTGGTACACTTTTTCCCTTTAAGTTTTTTTTTAATATTTTATTTATTTATTTCAATGGTAGAGTTACAGACAGTAAGAGGGAGAGACAGAGAGAAAGGTCTTACATCCACTGGTTCATTCCCCAAATGGCCACAACAGCCGAGGCTGGACTGATCTGATACCAGGAGCCAGGAGCTTCTTCCAGGTCTCCCACGTGGGTGCAGGGGCCCAAGCACTTGAGCTGTCTTCCACTATGTTCCCAGGCCACAGCAGAGAGCTGGATAGGAACGGGGGCAGCCAGGACCAGAACTGGTGCCCATAGGGATGCCAGCACTGCAGGCGGAGGATTAATCTGCATCAAAGTGCCAGCCCCTCCCCTTTAATGTCAATACAGGGCAAGTAACCATCACAGAATGTAATAATACAGAATTCACCGTGAGGTAAGTATGTCTTCAATTTGAACCAAGGCTTACCTATAGATGATAAATAAGGTTTACTTTTTTTTAAAATAAGGTTTACTGATACAAGATGAACAGTTTTCTGACAGTATGTAATTATAAGTGAAACTGTCATAAAAATGTCTCACTTATAGTTACTTGGATTATCAATGATTTAGTTCTATTAGAGTACCTATTATTATTCTATATGTGATTCCATATGGGATGTCGGCATTTCAGGCAGCAACTTAACCCGCTACGCCACAAAGCCAGCCCCTGGCTCAAGTATTTGAGTCCTTGCTTCCCACTTGGGAGACCTGGATGGAGTTCCTGGCATGTGGCTTTGACCTGGCCCAGCCCCAACTTTTGTGAACATTTTGAAGGTAAACTATTAGATGGAAAATCTCTATCTCTCCCTCTCTGTCACTCTGCCTCTCAAATACATAAATCTTAAAATATATATGTATTGCCTTGTAATTTTTTCTCTTATTTACATTTGGAGTAGTTTTCAGATTATTTTAGATTTTGTATCTTTTGGATTTTGGACTTTGTATATATTGGTATATGACAGGACATCAAAAAGTTCATGGAAAATGTGTATTTTGAAAAAACTGCATGGATTTCAAAAACTTTTTTGCAATTATCTTTTAATTTCTCTCTCCATGAACTTTTTGAAATACCCTCGTATTGCTCTAGCTTTACTGGTTGTTTTGTTATTTAAAGATTTATTTATTTATTTGAAAGAGTTTTACAGAGAGAGAGAAAGAGAGAGAGAGAGAGGTCTTCCATCCGCTGGTTCACTCCCCAATTGGCCACAATGGCCAGAGCTGATTTGAAGCAAGGAGCCAGGAGCCTCTTCCGGATCTCCCATGTGAGTGCAGAGGCCCAAGCAGGTGGGCCATCTGTACTGCTCTCCCAGGCCATAGCAGAGAGCTGGATCAGAAGTGGAACAGCCAGGACTCGAACCAGTGCCCATATGAGATGCTGGTACTGCAGGCAGTGGAGGCTTTACCTACTATACCACAGCGCCAGCCCCCCACCCTTGACTGCTCCACCACTAATCCAGTTCTCCGCTAATGTACCTGGGAAAGCATGGCCCAAGTGCCCGGGCCCCTGCACCCATGTGGGACTTGAACACAGTTCCAGGCTCCTGGCTTCAGCCTTGCCCAGACCTGGCTGTTGTGGCCATTTGGGGAGTAAACCAGCAGATGGAAGATATATCTTCCCACTTTCTCTCTCTCTTGGTTACTCAGCCTTTCAAAAAAATAAAATACGTATTTTAAAAAATATAAGGGGCTGGCACCGTGGCTCACTTGGTTAATCCTCCGCCTGCGATGCCAGCATCCCATATGGGCGCCGGGTTCTAGTCCCCATTGCTCCTCTTCCAGTCCAGCTCTCTGCTGTGGCCCGGGAGGGCAGTGGAGGATGGCCCAAGTGCTTAGGCCCCTGCACTCGCATGGGAGACCAGGAAGAAGCACCTGGCTCCTGGCTTCGGATCAGTGCAGCACGGGCCGTGGCTGCCATTTGGGGAGTGAACCAACGGAAGGAAGACCTTTCTCTCTCTCTCTCTCACTGTCTATAACTCTACCTGTCAAATAAAAAAAATATATTAAAATGGTATGCCATAAATTATCTACCAAATTGGTAACCCAATTGCTTGGACCCTTGCCACTCATGTGGGAGACCTAGATGAAGTTGCAAGCTCCTGGATTTGGCTTAGTCCAGCCCAAATTTTGAAATCCAAGCATATTTTTTTCATGCCCCAGCCATTGAGGCAGTTTGGGGAGCAAACCAGCAAATACAAGATGTTTCTCCTTGTCTGTAACTATGCTTTTAAAATAAATGTTATTTTTAAAAAAAAAAGATGGAAAATGCATATTCTGAAAAAACTAAATGGATTTCAAAATATTTTTGCATTAAAATAAATTTCTTTTAATTTCATTTATCCACGAACTTCTTAAAGTACATTCATAAATATGTAAATATAGATTAATTATAGTTTAGGAAAGGAAAAGATTTTCTGAATTCATTTTAACTTCAATTATATGCTACTATTCTATTTAGTTATTTTTCATGCTTAATCAAATACCTCCAAAGACACTTGATTAGTTACAATTCAGGAGTTTAATCCATACCTTTGAGTGTTCTGAAAGGAAATCAGGAAGGAGATAAACTTGCGCCAGTAGCTCTGTGTAGTCACAACAACGAAAATAATAAATATGGGAAAGAATATTTTCAAGAGTGAATTCTTCCAAAGCTTTTTGTTCTGAAACAAACAACAAAGCAATCTTAAAATAATTAATGTAACTTGCTTTGATATGCTGCTTATTGCAGGAAAATAATGCTTCTTTATAACAAAATACTAGAAGACTTTTCTCAATTGAAAGATGACAAGGGGGCAGGCGCTGTGGCGTAACGGGTAAAGCCAGAGGCTGCGGTGCCAGCATCCCATATGGGTGCCGGTTCGAGTCCCGGATGCTCCACTTCCAATCCAGCTCTCTGCTATAGCCTGGGAAAGCAGTAGAAGATGGCCCAAGTCCTTGGGCCCCTAAACCCGCATGGGAGACTCAGAAGCAGCTCCTGGCTCCTGGATTCGGATTGGCTCAGCTCTGGCTGTTGCAGCCATCTGGGGAGTGAATCAGTGGATGGAAGACCTCTCTCTCTCTCACTGCAACTCTCTGCCTTTCAAATAAATCAATAAATCTCTAAAAATAAAAGATAAAATTATAGCAAAATTTCTATAAACTATCATTTCACAATTCCTGACCTCTTATTTTCACTTTTCCACTGTTTCCTAACATCCTAGTAAATTATCTATACAGACCTATAAGTAGATTTTTTTATTAAAGATTTATTCATTTATTTGAAAAGCAGAGCTTCAGAGGAAAAGAGAAAGCAAGAAAGAACTTCCATCCACTGGTTCACTTCCCAAATGGCCATAACAGCCAGGGCTGAGTCAGGCTGAAGCCAGAAGCTAGAAGTCAGTAACTTCATCTTGGTCTCATACAAGGTTGGCAGGTGCCCAAACACTTGGCCTACTACCTGCTCCCTTTTTAGGCACATGAGTAGGAAGAGTAGCCAGGACTCAAACTGGCAACCCAATATGGGACACGAGAAAACCAAGCAGTATCTTAACCTACTGTACCATAACACCTGCCCATAATTACTACATTTTAAAATTTAAGTGACAGGTGTTTAGCCTAGCAGTTAAGACACCCATGTCCCATATTGCAGTGCCTGGGTTCAACACCTGACTATTGCTCCTAACTCCAACTGCCTCTTAATACAGACACTGGGAGGCAGAGGTAACAGCTCAAGTAATTGGGTTCCTGCCTCCCAGATGGAAGACCTGGATTAAGTTCTTGGCTCCCAGCTTCAGCCCAGCCAGTCCCAGCTATTGCAGGCATTTGGGGAGTGAACCAGAGGATGGGAGCTCTCTTTCTATCTCAAATAAATAAAAATTAAAAAGAAAACCAAAGTACTTAACTTTTTAAAAAATTGAAAGGCAGAGTTACAGAGAAAGAGGGAGAGACAGAGATATCTTCTGTCTGCTAATTTGCGTGAACTCACTCAAATAGCCGTAATGGCTTGGGCCAGGTCAGGCTGAAGCCAGGAGCTTCATTGGGGTCTACCACCTGGATGGTAGGGGCTAAAGTTCTTAGGTCATCTTCCACTGCCTTACCAGGCAACGCTGCATTGCAGGAAGAGATTCAACCCACTATTCCACAACATCAGCCTCTTAAGTTTTAACATTAAAAAAAGAAACTTTATTAACAAGCATTTGGTACAGTACACATCTCCTATCAGAGTGCCTGATTTGAGTCCCAGATCCTCTGCTTCTGATCCAGTTTCCTGTTAATATGTACTATAGGAGGCAGCAGATGATGGCTAAAGTATTTGGGTCTCCGGCACCCACGTGGGAGACCAGCATTAAATTCCACTCTTGGCTTCAGCCTGACTCTGCCCTGTTACAGGCACTTGGAGAGTGGAAGATCTTATCTATCTGTCTCTCTGCCTTTCAAACAAAATGAAAATAAGCAAACTATATTTTCTAATAGAAAATGTAACAAATATACACTAAAAGGTCAAATTTTCACCAAAAGATACAGCTTAATCACATACCAATCATTAAATACTGTGTAGCTCAGTGCTACATTATAATTACTCTATTTACAGTAAGTCTCTTTAAAAGATTTATTTATGGCTGGTGCCGCGGCTCACTAGGCTAATCCTCCGCCTTGCAGTGCCGACACATCGGGTTCTAGTCCCAGTCAGGGCGCCGGATTCTGTCCCGGTTGCCCCTCTTCCAGGCCAGCTCTCTGCTGTGGCCAGGGAGTGCAGTGGAGGATGGCCCAAGTGCTTGGGCCCTGTATCCCATGAGAGACCAGGATAAGTACCTGGCTCCTGCCATCGGATCAGCGTGGTGCGCCGGCCATGGTGGCCATTGGAGGGTGAACCAATAGCAAAGGAAGACCTTTGTCTCTGTCTCTCTCACTGTCCACTCTGCCTGTCAAAAAATTAAAAAAAAAAAAAAAAAGATTTATTTATTTATTTGGGGTCCAGCACTGTGGTGCAGTGGGTTAAAGCCCTGGCCTGAAGCGCCGGCACCCCATATGGGTGCCAATTCTAGTCCTGGCTGCTCCTCTTCTGATCCAGCTCTCTGCTATGGCCTGGGGAAGCAGTAGAAGATGGCCCAAGTCCTTGGGCCTCTGCACCTGGTTGGAAGACCTAGGGAAGGCTCCTGGCTTCGGATAGGGGCAGCTCTGGCCATCGCGGCCATCTGGGGAGTGAACCAGCGGATGGAAGACCTCTCTGTCTCCACCTCCCTCTGTAACTCTGTCTTTCAAATAAATAAAATAAATCTTAAAAAAAAAAAAAGATTTATTTATTTGAAAAGCAGAGTTACAGAGAGAGAGAGAGAGAAACAAAGACGTAGATCTTCCATCCGCTGGTTCACTCCTCAAATGGCCATAATGGCCAGGGCTGGGCCAGGCTGAAGCCAGGAGCCTAAAACTCCACCTGGGTCTCCCAGGTGGATAGCAGGGGCTCAATAATTGGTCTGTCTCCCACTGCTGTCCAAGGTGCATTAGCAAGGAATTGGATAGGAATTTGAACTAGTGCTCATATGAGATGCTGGTATTTTAAGCAGCAGCATACCCCACTGTACCACAACACTGGCTTGTGCAGAAAGATTTTAAGAATCTACTACAAATACACATTTGACCTTTAAGGTATAGAGAAGAAAGATCCTTTTCCAACTAGCCTCCTAGGTTCTCTGAATGGGGCTCTGTAAATTGGACTACCAAAAGATCTAGAGAAAAAAAAAAAAAACAGAAGTCTATTAACTTGAGCATTACCCATATAACCCATGGGAGTCCAGAGATGAGTAACTCAAAAGTTAAGCTAGTAGGGCTGGCACTGTGGCGCAGCATGTTAAGCCACAGCCTGCAGCACCGGCAACCCATATGGGTGCCAGTTCAAGTCCCAGCAGCTCCACTACCAATCCAGCTCCCTGCAAATGTGCCTGGGAAAGCAGTGGAAGACGGACCAAGTTCCTGGGCCCATGCTTCCATATGGGAAACCCAGAAGAAGCTCTTGGCTCTTGGCTTTGGCCTGGCACAGCCCTGGCCATTGCAGCCATTTGGGGAATGAGCTAGCGGATAGAAGATCGATCAGGAACATAGAGAGGACAGCTTTCCTTTATCTGCTTTTTCCCAATTGCCCACAGCTCAAAATAAGCCTGCTACCAAGTGGCATATTTTAGGATGGCATATTCTGCCAGCATACAAAGGTCTTTTAGTAGATACACAATTCATACTAAATACTAAATTTTAGTAGATACAACAATTAATACTAATACTAAATGAGACATGAAAATAAAAATGTGAGGGACAATTTGGAGATGCAAGTGGGTTAAGCCACCGCCTACCACGGACTCTTTCCACTCCTGGCCCAGCTCTGGCTGTTGCAGAAATTTGAGGAGTGAACCAGTGGATGGAAGATCTCTGTCTCCATCATTCTGCTTTTCAAATAAATGAATAAATCTTTAAAAAGTAATAATAAAAATGCCAAGCTGATTATATTCATCTAAGGAAAATACAAACATCCAAAGAAAAACATTTTTTTAAACATCTAGAGAAAAGAATAAGGACTGCCAAAACTAAACTAAAATAAAGCAAAAGACAACAGTCAAAGCTAGGACAGGCACCTGGCCTCGTAGTTAAGAAGCCTGTTAAGATGCTTGCGTCACATATCAGAGTGCATGTTTCTTGGCTCTGCTCCCGATTCCAGTTTCCTGCTAACTCATACCCTAGGAGGCAGCAGGTGATGGCTCAAGTAGTTGGATTCCTGGCCCCCAAGTGGGAGATCTGGACCCTGTTCCCAGATTTAGCCTGGCCTGCCTGTGGCCATTACAGGCATCTGGGGAGTGCTAGAGAAGATGGGAGCTGTCTCTTAGTAAACAAATTTTTAAAAATTTGTACATATAAGAAACTATAGAGAAAACCACAAAGTAGAATCCAGCAGTATACATGTCAGGATTCAAGAAAAAATATATATAAATGAATTTTAAAAAGTCAAATCAGAAACTATGTACTTTTATAATTGAAAGCAAAAAGCCGGAACACAAATTACCTTTTCAAAATTTGCTTTAAAATCAAATACTTGGGGCTGTCATTGTGGCACAGTTGGGTTAAGCTGCTGCCTGCAATGCTGGTACCCCATATGAGTGTCGGTTTGAGTCCTGGTTGCTCTACTTCCAATCCGGCTCCCTGCTAATGTGCCTGGGAAAGCAGCAGAGGATGGTCCAAGTACTTAGGCCCCTGCCACTCACAAAAGAGACTCAAAAAGAGTTCTAGACTTCTGGCTTCAGCCTTGTCCAGCCCTGGCCATTGCAGCCTTTTTGGAAATGAATCAGCAGATGGAAGATCTCTGTCTTTGCCTCTAAGTCTGCCTTTCATTTGTTTATTTTTTCTTTAATCCTTATTTTTTCATCTTTTAACTCTGCCTTTCAAATAAATAAATCTTTAAAAATAAAGTATTTCCACATTGTAAGCACAAAAAAAAGCTTCTCAAACACTTTAATGATACAATTAGTGCAATTATATACTACTCAAAGCTCCAAAAGGTCAGTCAGTGTAACATTTCAAACATTTCCAGAAGTGCTTTTCATAGCCATAGCTACATTTGGTTTTGGAGAAACCAATGTGGAAATCAATATATACTGAATGCATTTTAACATTTGCTTATATTAAGGTGTCCAACTTTAGCTTACACCTGGCAGGATGGAGTATATTAATTTGAAGTCAGACATTGAGAAACAAAGCCCCTGCAGTAAAAAGCAAGGGTCATAAAAGTAGAAAAAAAGGTCAGATCAGGCTGTGGCCCTTCTCATTTTGTAACAGACATCTGAGAGTTTAACAATAGTACAGTCAAGTCATTAAGCTTCATGTTCCAAATGTCCTCTTGCTGAGGTCTGTGATGGGCAAAAATGTAAATTACTTTTATTGTACAGAAAAAAAGGGGGCCATTTTGCTAACTTACCCTCTTCCATGTGTGTTCCTGCTATTAGGTGAAGATGCTGAATGCACGCAGTAGCAAGCTCTACCACTCTATCAACCATAAAACTTCCCTCTGTATCAATAAAAACTGCTTCACCTGCTACTCCTCCAAAACATTCTGGTATCTGCACATCCACTGCCAGCTGCATGCTGTTAAGACAATTACATCAAATGACCAAATCTTTATCATGATCATCAAACTCCAGATAATTATTATTTAGTATTGCTAAAATAAATGAATGAAAATATTTTTATACTCTTCAGAGTAACAGACAGCTGTTTCTCCATGGCCCCAGATATTCTCATATATGAATATGCTTGGAGTAAGGTGGAGATATGCCTATAAAAGCACAATTATGCGCGGCTCACTAGGCTAATCCTCCGCCTAGCGGCGCCGGCACACCGGGTTCTAGTCCCGGTCGGGGCGCTGGATTCTGTCCCGGTTGCCCCTCTTCCAGGCCAGCCCTCTGCTGTGGCCAGGGAGTGCAGTGGAGGATGGCCCAGGTGCTTGGGCCCTGCACCCCATGGGAGACCAGGAAAAGCACCTGGCTCCTGGCTCCTGCCATCGGATCAGTGCGGTGCGCCGGCCGCAGCGCGCCAGCCGCGGCGGCCATTGGAAGGTGAACCAACGGCAAAGGAAGACCTTTCTCTCTGTCTCTCTCTCTCTCTCACTGTCCACTCTGCCTGTCAAAAAAAAAAAAAAAAAGGCACAATTATGGACTTTTTAATGGTTTTTACAGCTTCTGGTCCTTTCTTATTATACATTAATTTACTTTCAAACAATTGACTTTCAACTATATTTTAAGAAGTGAATAAAGTAAAAGACTGCACATTTATCCTAATGACCATACTACAAAGTTTCAAGGAAATATTTTCTATAAGATAATTACATCAATTTATCAAGATGGGGTACTGATGTAACACAAATGGTAAACTGATTTTTGCTTGAAACACTCACACAGGAGCATGTACGTGCCTTTTTTGGTCTCCCAATAGTAAACCCACAGAACAACTGTCTTAATCAATGTTTATTAAGCCCACCCTTCAGAGGGGAACATTTTATTTTACCATAATTGTGTTTTTCCAACACCTGGTGCACCACAAATTTCTGTTGTTTTCATTAAGGGTATTCCACCCCCAAGAATATTATCTACTGCTGAACAGAAGGTAATTATGAAGCTCTGGGTATGCTCCTGTTCAAGAAGTTCCAATGCTGTACACTTCTTGCCTGACTCAGATGTACCAGCATATCTTGGTTTATTTGTAGGACATTCTCTTCTTATAATTTGCAGAGTTTCTAAGGCTTCCTCTTTAGATATCCCAACTTCTGAAATGAAAATAAGAAAAAAATCCTGACTTTAGAAATTTAAAATAGTCTAACACATAATGGGTTTTACTAATCTTGATTTTTAGATAACACTGATGCTATGAGTAGAGTAGAAAGAAACCGTAAAAATCTAACATCTTGGGGCAGTGTTGTGAAGTAGCTGGTTAAGCCATTACCTGTGATGGCATTCCACATGGATGCCAATTCAAGTCCCAGTTGCTGCACTTCTGATCCAGCTTCCAGCTAATGCAGCTGGGAAAGCAGTGAGAGATGGCCCAGGTGCTTGGGCCCCTGCATCCTTGTGGGAGACCTGGAAGAAGCTCCTGGCTCTTGGCTTTAGCCTGGCCCAGCCTTGGTCATGGTAATCATTCAGGGAGTGAACCAGTGGATGGAAAATATTTTTTTTCTCTCTCCCTCTTTCTTTCTCTAATTCCACCTTTCAAAGAAATAAATCTTGAAAAAAAGTAACATCTTAACTATCTACTATTAACTTTTTACTTCTTCATTTCAATAAAGGCATCTGTTTTATTAGTCATTACATAAATATTTATTATCTCAGAAACAAAATTAAAAGAAGTTATAGCTGAGTACCCACAAGAGCATCTCAGAAGTAGAAACAGGTAGGTATTTGGCATGGTGGTTAAGAGACCTGCGTTCCAGTTCAGAGTGCCTGGTTTCAAGTCTGGGCTCTACTCCCTATTCCAGCTTCTGATTAATGTGCACCCTGGGAGGTGGTGGTGATGGCTTAAGTACTTGGGTCTTTGTCACCCTCATGGAAGACCTAGACTGAGTTCCTAGTCCTTGTTTCAGCCTGACCCAGGCCCCGCTATTGAGGGTATTTGGGGAGTGAACCAGAAGATGGAAGCACTCTGTCTCTCTGCCTTTCAAATAAAATGAAAATAAAGGACATAGAAGTAAATTGTACTTTCACTGTCTCTTATGAAGCCACTACTATCTTGCTCTCATAAAATATACACATGCTTTTTCAAACAAGGATGAATGACTTCTTTAACGTCCTAAAACAAAGTATAACTTTAAGAAGTACATGTCAGGACCAGTGCTGTGGCGTAGCGGATGAAGTTGCCACCTGCTGTGCCGGCATTCCCCTACAGACAGATGCCTGTTCAAGTCCTGGCTGCTACACTTCTGGTCCAGCTCTCTGCTATAGCCTGGGAAAGCAGTAGAAGATGGCCAGGTCCTTGGTCCCCTGCGCCCTCGTAGGAGACCTGGAAGAAGGTCCTGGCTCCTGGCTTCAGATGAGTGCAGCTCCGGCCGTTGTGGCCAGCACCAGCAGATAGAGGACCTCTCTGTCTCTCTCTCCCTCTCTGCCCCTCCTTCTCTCTCCGTGTAACTCTGACTTTCAAATAAATAAATAAATCTTAAAAAAAAAAAAAAGTACATGTCAGCATTGTGGCATAGCAGGCAAAACTGCCTGCAATGCCAACATCCCACATGGGTGCCAGTTCAAGACCCAGCTGCTCCACTTCTGATCCAGCTCCCTGATAATGGCTTAGGAAAGCCATTTGGGGAGTGAACCAGCAGATGGTACGTGCTCTCTTTCTCTCTCTTTCTGTAACTCTGCCTTTCAAAAAAAAAAGTAGTGGGGCTAGCAGTGTAGAAGATATTTAAATTCCCTTCAGAAAAATGGACAGTGTTGGGGTAATATGGACAAAACTAGGACACATCTCCTGCAGTCAGAGCAGTTCCTTCTATTTTGAAGGTACAAAGCGTATTTCAGTCACTTCCATCTAAGAGTCCCGTCTTGGGGCCAGCGCTGTGGCCTAGCAGGTAAAGCTGCCACCTACAGTGCTGGCATCTGTATGGGCGCCGGTTCAAGCCCCAGATGCTCCACTTCCAATCCAGCTCTCTGCTATGGCCCGGGAAAGCAATGAAAGATGGCCCAACTGCTTGGGCCCCTGCAACCACGTAGGAGACGTGGAAGAAGCTCAACTCCGGCCTTTGTAGCCTACTGGGGAGTGATCCAGTGGATGGAAGACTTCTCTTTCTCTCTCCTCTCTCCCTCTGCCTCTCTGTAACTCTGCCTTTCAAATAAATAAATAAATCTTAAAAAAAAAAAGGGCAGGGAGTTGGAGCAGCAGAGCATTAAGGACTTGAACTGATGTTCTAACAATGCAAGCAGTGGCTCAACCCACTGTGTCACAACACTGTGCCTCCCTGCCTTGTATTATTCAAAAGAACTTTTCATGGAAACATTGATATAAAAATTTCATTTCATGGCGGGGGCCGACATTGTGGCATAGCAGGTTAAGCCTCCACCTGAGATGCCAACATCCTATAAGTGCACTGGGTTAAGTCCAGGCTGCTCCACTTCTGATCTAGCTCCAGCTCCCTGCTAATGAACCTGGGAAAGCAGCAGAAGACAGCCAAAGTGTTTAGGTCCTTACCACCCACTTGGAAGACCAGGATGGAATTCCAGGCTCCTGGCTTTGGCAAGGCCCAGCCCTAGCCATTGCAGCCATTTGGAGAGTGAACCAGCAGATAGAAGATCTCTGTCTCTCCCTTTCTCTCTGTTACTCTTTCAAAAAAAAATTTTTTTTAAATAAACTCCTAAATCACTCCAAACTTTTAATGAGAACAATTATTCAACGCACAAAATTTTTTTAAAGATTTTATTCATTTTATTTGAGAGGTAGAGTTACAGACAGTGAGAGGGAGAGACAGAAAGGTCTTCCTTCTGAGGTTCACTCCCTGAATAGCTGCAATGGCTGGAGCTGCGCCAATCCAAAGCCAGGAGCCAGGTGCTCCTTCCAGGTCTCCCACGTTGGTGCAGGGGCCCAAGGACCTGGGCCATCTTCTACTGCTTTCCCAGGCCATAGCAGAGAGCTGGATTGGAAATGGAGCAGCTGGGACCAGAACTGGTGTCCATATGGGATGCTGGCGCCGCAGGCAGAGGATTAACCTACTGTGCCATGGCACCGGCCCCAATGCAAATATTTTTAACAATATATTTATTCTCCTCAACTACATGGTTTCATTTCTATTTGACAATGTGGAGTGAAAACAGAAAAGATGCTACAGAAACAAACAATGGTGAGTCTGGCATCATATGTCAGTTTGATAAATCAGTGACTGACTTAAGTATATGAACTATAATTTTGGTAGTAAGAAAAGTTTTTTCTGAAGACGACGCGGTAGCATTAGGTGCGGAGCGTGTTTGCGCCTGCTCCTGCTCCTGACTCACCGCTGTTCGCTCTCGCCGAGGAACAAGTCGGTCAGGAAGCCGCGCCGCAGCCATGGCTTTTAAAGACACCGGAAAGACGCCCGTGGAACCAGAGGTGGCCATTCACCGAATTAGGATCACCCTGACCAGCCGCAACGTCAAGTCCCTGGAGAAGGTGTGTGCTGACTTGATCAGAGGAGCAAAGGAGAAGAATCTGAAAGTGAAAGGACCTGTTCGGATGCCTACCAAGACACTGCGAATCACTACAAGAAAAACCCCTTGTGGTGAAGGTTCTAAGACATGGGACCGCTTCCAGATGCGAATCCATAAACGGCTCATTGACTTGCACAGCCCTTCTGAGACTGTGAAACAGATCACTTCCATCAGCATTGAGCCGGGAGTGGAAGTTGAAGTCACCATTGCAGATGCCTAAGCCAACCGACTGTTTTAATAAATTGACTACCACTTGTAAAAAAAAAAAAAGAAAAGAAAAGAAAAGGTAACGGTGGGGCCAGAGTGGTAACACAGCAGGTTAAGCCACCACCTGAGACACCTGCATCCCAAATTGGAGTCCCTGAGTTTGAGTCCAGCTCAGCTTCCAATTCTGCTTCCTGCTTATGCACATCTTGGGAGGTGGCCAGTGATGGCTCAAGTACTTGGGCCCCTGCCACCCACATAAGAGATTCAGACTGAATCCAGGTTACTGACTTCAGCCTGGCCCAGTACTGACTGATGAAAGTGTTTGAGGAGTGAACCAATAGTTGGAATAACTCACTTTTAAAAAAAATTATTTTTGGCCAGCGCTGCAGCTCACTTGGCTAATCCTCAGCCTGCGGCGCCGGCACCCCAGGTTCTAGTCCTGGTTGGGGCGCCAGATTCTGTCCCGGTTGCTCCTCTTCCAGTCCAGCTCTCTGCTCTGGCCCGGCAAGGCAGTAGAGGATGGCCTAAGTGCTTGGGCCGTGCACCCGCACGGGAGACCAAGAGGAAACACCTGGCTCCTGGCTTCAGATCGACTCAGCTCTCCGGCCGTAGCAGCCATTTGGGGGGTGAACCAACGGAAGGAAGACCTTTCTCTCTGTCTCTCTCTCTCACTGTGTGACTCTGCCTGTCAAAAAAAAATTTTTACTTGAGTTAGAAAGAAATCTGTCTGCTGGTTCACTCCCAAAATGGCCACAACAGCTGGGGCTGTGCCAGGCCAAAGCCAGGAGCTTCATTTGGTCTCCCATGTGGGTGCAGGGGCCCAAACACTTGGGCCATCTTCCACTGCTTTCCCAGGCACATTAGCAGGGGGCTAAATTGTTAAGTGGAGTAGCCAAGTCTGGAACTGGTGACCATAGGGAATGCTGGCATCTCAAGCTGTGGCCTAACCTACTATGCCACAATGCCAGCCTCCTCTCTTTTTCAAATAAAGTTGATGCCCAAGAAAAAGCACGTTTAAGTCAGATTGTTCACATTGTAAATCCTGACTGCACCACTTACTATGTTAAATTTTTGTACCTCACATTTTTTTCTTTTGTAAAATAAAAATGAAAACAATGCATGTAAAAGTCTCGGTAAGGGGCCAGCATTGTGGCACAGTAGGTTAAAGCATCCACCTGCGGCACCAGCATCCCATTTGGGCACTGGTTCTAGTCCCAGCTGCTCCTCTTCCAATCTCTGCTATGGCCTGGGAAGGCAGCAGAGGATGGCCCAGGTGCTTAGGCCCCTGCATCCACAGGAGAGACCCAAAAGAGGCTCCAGGCTTCAGATCAGCCCAGCTCCAGCCATTGTGGCCATTTGGGGAGTAAATCAGCGGATGGAAGACCTCTCTGTGTCTCCTCTCTGTAACTCTGCTTCTCAAGTAAATATTTAAAAAAAAAAAGGCTTGGTAAATACCAAGGTCATCCAAAACAATCAATAATTGCTTGTAATTATTACTGGGTCTCTCATTTCTTCTTCGGAAACCCTATTTATTGAAAGAAAAAGAGCCCATCAAACTTTAGGGGACACAGTCTGTGGTATGACTACTTAAATAGTTAAGGTTGGGTCTACAAGTTATTGTTCAGTGGTAAACTGAAACCTTATCTCCCACTGTTAAGGGCATTAGCTTAAAAGTCTGTTTCATCTTCTTCCATGGAGATGCGCAGGTCTGGACATCCCATATTGCAATATGCACAGCGAGAGCACTACAGGATGCAGTGGTTCCCTCCAATACATGCAACCACGGCGCTCGGAATATAAGGTTTTAGTCTTTTCAGTGAATTATATAAGGGGTGTCTTCTTTCTACTTCTTTTCTCATTCAGTGGCTCTACCTACACGAATCCTACATGTCTCAAAGAATTCGCATCCTTGGAATTTTGGAGCGGAGAATAAGATTAGGTAGTCTTTCTAGTTTCCCGTTCTGTCTCCACTAGTTCCTAACCTAGTTATGAAAAGTCATTTAACCTCTTCAAAACAAGAGACCGGCTCTCATCTGCATATTGCACAAAATCCTAGTAAAAGCGTTCTTTTGGGCATGAGAGAATCCTCAACGCATCCAGGAGGCACTAACACAAAGAAAGCAGCCACAATTCGTGTGACCATTCAGACAACTGTTAAGCGGGGTCAAGAAACTGTTTCTCGGCCTAAACGCGGCCGTGAGAGGCGGCGGGACGCGGCGACGGAGCCTGGGCTGAATCAGCCTTGCAGGCGGGAGCGCCCCGCCGCGGGCGGCTCCGACGGCGGCCAGCGCGTCGCCACCGGCCCTCAGCAGTTACCTTTGCTGAGCTCGGAAGGCTTCACTTCCAGGAGCTCCTCAGCCGTCTGGAAGCCCGCAGTCACCAGCTTCACGCGCACCGCCGGCGACAGCGGAAAACTCGCTAAATCCCGCTGCATTTCAAGACACGGCCCCTCCGCGCACGCAGGGTGGGGCTGTACTTCGGACCGCCGAAACTCTCGCGCCCAGAGACGGGCGTGCGTGTGACGTCACACGCAACGCGCGGAGGGGGCGTGGTCTGCGGCCTGGCCGCATGCGGGCCTGGCCTTCGCGGCCGTGTGAAGTTGTGTTAACGTTCGCATCGGCGGCATTTCCACTGCGATTCCTCCAAATCTCGTGTGTGGTTTCCTCATCAGATGTATATTGTGACTTAAAAATGGATTTAGACCGTAGGGTGGACAGCCAGGCCCAGAGGGCTCTGCACACAACATTTCCTCACCTTCGCCCTGGCCTGTCTCATGGAAGGCTAGGTCATTTTATAGAAATGATCTCCCCGAATGGGAGCAGTGGGAAAATGAGGGTACACTGACCGGTAACTGGACGTTTGGAATGGGAAGTCCAGGAAACAGCCATAGAAAGACTAACCAGTGTGCCATTAGGGTGCAAGTCTCTTGGCTCTTCTCGCCAGCCGTCCACACCCCCGCACCTGCCCCCCCAGACTTCCCGCCCTCGCAAAGGATTGTGGGCCAGCCCCCCACAGCCGCTGGGGAAAACGCTCGGCGTCCGGGCCCCTCACCCACCCGCCGACGCCTTCCCGCGAGTCGGGCCTGGCGTTTGGGGGTTTCTGAGTCTGTTAGAGCTTCACGGCCTGCCTAGTTCAAGAAGATAGCTGGAAAAGTAAGCACGTAATGAGCCCGGGGTTTCTGGGGTTCGGAGAGGGAGGGGCTGGCCTGTACTGGAACACGCCTGTTCCGTGACGGAGTTGGCTGTGGAAATGGCCACTTGGAAAACACAGAACTCTGGGGAAAATAGAAGGAAATTTGAAAGATGCCTTGTAAGGGTCTCTCCTTGTCCAGGAAGCACGGCTGGCTTTTTCAGTGGAGTAACCTGTACCCTACTTGTTGCCTGGATTCCTCACCCTGACTTTACTTGTCGGCTTAAAGGACCTCCTGAAATATTGTAAATCAGAGCCCTTCAAGTTCTTAGGAGCTAAAGAAGGAAACAGCTTATGCGGAGCACATGAACAAATCCTATACACGTAAATGCTCCTAGGCATTCCGCCGGAACAGAGCTCGGGCCTCAAGGCCCAGAACAGTTTTTCTCAAAGCCAAAATTCAAACCTAGTATCGTTTTTTTATTACCCTGAGCTGCCTCCAGACGGTGAGCCCCTCCTAAGGGGCGCGGCGGGGCAGAGGCAGCGGGACTGACGGCAGGAGAGCCTGCTCAGTTTGTACCCAGTGTAGGAGACCCCAGAAAGGCTGCCAGACTGGTCCAAATGCGGCTTGGCGCTCAGAGCATTGCTGTACTTCTAATATGATCTATGCCTGGGCACTCACTGGGCATTAATTAAGTGTTGTCCTCCAGGAAATTCATGCTTATGCTTACAGTGCAACCTGGTTCCTGGGTGAAGAAAATTTGGTGTTACCACATTCAGCGATAGCTTTTCTGTTAGCTTGGTCATGCTCAGTGGGATTGGTCATATTTAGAATTTTATTTCATCAGCGGTGGAGACTTAAGAAACTTGTGGATTCTGCCATCAGCTATACAGTTAGGTGCTAATAACCTTCTCTGGTCCTTGAGTTGCCTGTACTGACTACCATGTCCAAGATAATTCTTAAAGTTTCTTTGATGCAGTTTGCTCAGCTTTCAAACTGACATCCAGGTTTATGAAGCTAGGCACCTGAAACTAAGCAAAGCTAGGGGATAAATATGGAATGTGCACCTTCCTGTATTGTCTGTTTTCTTCAGATTTCTTTAGAGAGGGAAGGGTTGAATTATTTAACTGGTGAGTCATTTAAAACATTGTCTATTAAGTAAGCATTAACGTACTGTGGAGTAAAATGTAAACATTAAAAGTTTTCAAATAGTCATAAGCTGGATAATTTAAAGCTGCTCAGAAATGTTTTTATTGTCTTTTTTTAAAAGATTTATTTTGGCCGGTGCTGCAGCTCAATAGGCTAATCCTCTGCCTGCAGCGCTGACACACCGAGTTCTAGTCCTGGTCGGGGCGCCAGATTCTGTCCCGGTTGCTCCTCTTCCAGGCCAGCTCTCTGCTGTGGCCCGGGAGTGCAGTGGAGGATGGCCCAAGTGCTTGGGCCCTGCACCCCATGGGAGACCAGGAGAAGCACCTGGCTCCTGGCTCCTGCCATCGGATCAGCGCGGTGCGCTGGCCGCGGCAGCCGTTGGAGGGTGAACCAACAGCAAAAAGGAAGACCTTTCTCTCTGTCTCTCTCTCTCACTGTCCACTCTGCCTGTCAAAAAAAAAAAAAAAAAAAAGAAGAAAGAAAGAAAAAGAAAAAAGATTTATTTTATTTATTTGAAAGAGTTACAGAGAAAGGTAGAGAGAGAGAGAGAGAGGTCTTCCGTCCACTGGTTCACCCCCCAATTGGCTGCAATGGCCGTAGCTGCGCCAATCCAAAGCCAGGAGCCAGGAGCTTCCTCCGGGTCTCCCAGGTGGGTGCAGGGGCCCAAGGAATTGAACTATTTTTCTGCTGCTTTCCCAGGCCGTAGCAGAGAGCTGGATCGGAAGAGGAGCAGCCAGGACTAGAATCGGCACCCATATGGGATACCAGGCTTCAGGCCAGGATGTTAACCTTTGTACCACAGCGCTGGCCCCTGTCTTTTGCAATTTGAGGTTAGGGTCAGCCCTGTGACACAGCTTCACTTTTGATCCAGCTTCCTGCTAATGCACCTGGGAAAGAGGTAGATGATGGTCCAAGCACATGGGCCACTGCCACCCAATTGGGAGACCTTGAGGGAGTTCCAGGCTCCTGGCTTCAGTTGTGCTCAGCCCTGGCTGTTTAAAATTATTTTGAGTTGCCTGGCACTGTGGCATGGAGGGTGAGGCTGCCACCTGTAGTACCTGCATCCTTTATGGGTGCCTGTTCAAGTCCCGGCTGCTCCACTTCCAATCCAGCTCTCTGCTATGGCCTGGGAAAATAGTAGAAGATGGCCCAGGTCCGTGGGCCCCTGTACCCACTTGGGAGACCCAGAAGAAGCTCCTGGCTTCAGATGGGCTGAGCTCTGACCATTGCGGCCATTTTGGAGAGTGAACCAGCAAATGGAAGATGTTTCTCTTTGTCTCTCTGCCTCTGCTTCTCTGTCGCTCTGACTTTCGAGTAAATAAATAAATCTTTAAAAAAAAAAAAACAAAACTTATTTTGAAAAACAGAGTGACAGAGAGGGAGAGAAAGAGAGATATCTTCCATATGCTGATTCTCTCTCCAGATGGCCACAATGGCCAGCACTGGGCCAGGCTGAAGCCAGGAGCTTCATCCGGTCTCCCGCGTGGGTGACTGACAGAAGCCCAAACACTTGGGCCATCTTCCACTGCTTTTCTCAGGCCATTAGCAGGGACTTGGATCTGAAATGGAACAGCTGGGACAGGAACACGGGTATACATGTGATACTGGTGTCACAGGCAATGGGTTTTACCTCCTATGCCACAACACCAGATGTGATAAATAAATATCTAAAAATAATTCAAAAAATAAACAGGCCGGCACCGCGGCTTACTAGTCTAATTCTCCGCCTGGGGCGCTGGCACCCTGGATTCTAGTCCCAGTCGGGGCGCAGGATTCTGTCCCGGTTGTTCCTCTTCCAGTCCAGCTCTCTGCTGAGGCCCGGGAAGGCAGTGGAGGATGGCCCAAGTGCTTGGGCCCTGCACCCGCGTGGGAGACCAGGAGAAGCACCTGGCTCCTGGCTTCGGATCGGCGCAGCGCGCCAGCCGTAGCGGCCATTTGGGGGGTGAACCAACGGCAAAAGGAAGACTTTCTCTCTCTCTCTCTCTCTCTCTCTCTCTCTCTCTCTTTCTCTTTCTCTCTTTCTCTTTCTCTTTCTCTTTCTCTTTCTCTTTCTCTCTCACTGTCTAACTCTGCCTGTCAAAAAAAGAAAAAGAAAAAGAAAAAAATTTAAATAAACAAACAACTCCATGGGGCCAGCATTGTGGTACAGTGGGTTAAGCTGCCACTTGCAAGGCCAGCATCTCATGTCAGAGTGCCATCCTATATCAGAAGGCCAGCCCAAGTCCTGACTACTCTGTTCCCAATCCAGCTTCCTGCTAATGCACCAGGGAAAGCAGCAGATGATGACCCAAGGACTTGGGTCCCTGCCACCTATGTGTAAGACCCGGATGGAGTTCCTGGTTCATGGCTTTGGCCTGGCCCAGACCTGGCTGTTTCAGCCATTTGGGGTGGGAACCAGCAAATGGAAGATCCCTCTCTCTCTCTCTTTCTCTCTGTGCCTTTCAAATAAATAAATCTTTAAAAGAAAAAACAACCTCCACGGCAGGTGTTTGGTCTAGCAGTTAAGATGTTCATTAGGACACTGGTGTTCCAACTGAAGTTAACTGAATTCTAGTCCTGACTCTGCTCCCAATTCCAGTTTCTTGATAATGTACACCCCAGGAGGCAGCAGGTTATGGCTCAAGTGGCATGGTCCTTGCCATCCATATGGGTGATCTGAACTACTTCCCAGCTCCCAGCTATTGCAGACATTTGGGAAGTGAACCAGCAGTGAGAGCACACACACTCCCTCTGGCTTTATGTGTCTCTGCTTCTCAAGTAAAAAGTAAAATAATTTTTTAAACATTTATTTTTCATTTATTTGAAAGACAGAGTTACAGAGAGTGGTAGAGACAGAGAGAGAGGTCTTCCATCCACTAGCTCACTCCCCAAACGGCCACAACAGCCAAAGCTGAGCTGATCTGAGCTAGGAGCCAGGAGCCCCTTCCGGGTCTCCCACACCGGTGCAGGGGCCCAACCAAGCACTTGGGCCATCTTTCACTGCCTTCCCAGGTGTATCATCAAGGACCTGGATCAGAAATGGGGCAGTCGGGACTTGAAACCAGCTCCCATATGGGATGATAGCACTGCAGGCTGGGGCATCAACAAGATGAGCCACAGGATTGGCCCCAAATAAATTTTTTTTAATTAAGAAAACTCATTTCTTACTCTTAGTTCCTGGCAACCACCATTATAGTTTATGTTTCAATGACTTTGATTACACTTGATACCTCATATAAGTGGAATGTATAGTATCCATCCTTTTTGTGATTGGGCTTATTTGACTTAACATAATATCTTCAAGGTTCATCTATCTTATAGTGTGTGTCAGAATTTCTCTTTAAGTCTTAATTATAGGGGCCAGTGCTGTGGTGTAGTAGTCTAAGCCTCTGCCTGAGGCACTGGCATCCCATATGGACACCAGTTCGTGTCCCAGCTGCTCCTCTTCTGATCCAGCTCTCTGCTATGGCCTGGGAAATCAATAAAAGATGGTCCAAGTGCTTGTGCCGCTGTGCCTACATGGGAGATCTGGAAGAAGCTCCTGGCTTCTGGCTTCGGATCAGCCCAGCTCTGGCCTTTGAGGCTATTTGGGGAGTGAACCAGCAGATGGAAGACCTTTCTGTCTCTCGCACTCTCTGACTATAACTCTACCTCTCAAATAAAAAATAAATAAAATATTTAAAAACAAAATAAGAATGTACTGCTAACCACAAATCTGAAACTGGCATTTGGGATTTAAGAATTGTTGGTGATTATTACCAGTATAGGTCCTATGTATGACCTTTTCCCCTTATTCAAATAGTTTGCAATCAGATTTTGAGATATCTTAACTTTTGTTTCACATAAAAATATTTATAGATTTTATTTCTTTATATGCATAAAACACACATATAA